TGCGACTTGTCCCTAGTGCTTGTCCAGGGGTACCTGTCTTTGGTCCTTCTCACACTGCCCTGGTAAGTTTGCACAAGCCAACTACTGTCAACAACGCCTGTTCCAGGTGTCCGACCAGGCATGACTTCCAGATTACTCTTTTGATCCCAAACTCCCTGATCTTCTGCTCAAAAACATCTCTCTGTTCCTTTATTCCCTGTTGCACACCCGGCTTTTTGAGCTCTGCCACTAGCTCCCCTTAGTTTGTTGACTCATTTAGGCTTTTACAAACCTCAGCTTCTGACTCAGGTTTTAGCTCGATGGGCTCCTTCGATGTCAGTGCCCATGAAGGTTTGAGTCAGAGACCGTCCAGTCAGCCCTGCCTTCAGGAACCCTCACCGAGTGGGCTAGCCAATTCACTTGTACAGGAAAAATATAACAGGCAAAGGCCATTTATCAGAAAATACGAGAACAGGAACCAGAGTTGCATTTTATCTTCTATCTGGGGAAAACTAGATGGGACACTTAGGAAGAAATTCCAAAAATTCCACTCCAAATACCGATCTGAATAATGGCATAAGATTTGCCAGAAATATTCTTTTTATGAAAACAGTTTTCTAAAAATCATTAAACTCATGTAAGCAGTCCCTATCAAAGCCACTTATTTGGTTGGCGTGCTGGTTAACTAGGACCTCAATTTGCTTCTTCTTCCAATGAGGACTGGGACCCAACCTACTTATAATACAGGGCAGATGGTATGAATCAGGATATCACTTCCTCACATCCTCTGTCTAATGCAGCTGCAGTTGACTAAAAAAATCTCCTCTCCCCTCTCTAAGCGCAACAGCTGTGTGCATTAAAGCCCAAAGGCAGCTACAAAGTGTCAGGTGGACACTGCTCTAATACACACAAAAATACTTCTTTGAGGCTTAAAAAACTAATGAGAAACTCTTGTACTGATATTTTTAAAGACAAGTTAAAAATAAGTCAATAGAACATCATTTTTAGAGTATGCAATTCTTGAAATGCCATTATAATGTTAAAAATTCAATATTAATTAAAATACTTAAAAATTAGCTGAAATATTTTATTCTCTCTTTTTTTTAAAACACTGAATGTTTTAAAAATCATTAATATTAACCTCATTGTTTAAAAAAACTAACAACTAGGGGCTGGCCTGACGGCATAACAGTTAAGTTTGCATGTTCCGCTTTGGTGGCTCAGGATTTGCCAGTTCGGATCCTGGGTTCGGACATGGCACTGCCTGGCCAGCCATGCTGTGGCAGGCATCCTGTGTATAAAGTATAGGAAGATGGGCATGGATGTTGGCGCAGGGCCAGTCTTCCTTAGCAAAAAGAGGAGGATTGGTGGTAGATGTTAGCTCAGGGCTAATCTTCCTCAAAAAACAAAAAACAAACAACTATGCTTTTGTAAAAAAGCTGTCAAAATTCTTCTACCAATTAGCAAATGTGTTAAAATACTTATATATGCACCTGGTTTTGATATAGTTCAAAACACAAAAGACGTACTCTATAAATGTGGCTTTTTCATTAATTCAGGGGATTAACGTCATTTGGAGGCTTATATGCTTTTTGCATGTTGATGCCAACGCTGTGTCCCATGAGGAGCTGCAGGCACTCGCTCTGGTTTTGAAAATTAAAAAAAAAATTATTAACATCCTATTTCAAGTAATAATTCTTCTGATGTTTGTTACTGTCTGAATGTGCTCAGTCTCACATGACATTTGGCACTCTATGTAGTTACCTCCTTGATTGCATTTATGTTTGATATATCAAACAGTTCTCAGATCTGTAAACTTGTGAGCTTGAAGAAAAGCTCCCTTCAAAGCATATTTCCGTTTCATGTGAATCTCAAAGGATCAAATTAGTCCTTATCTAATCCAAGCTGCTGTTGCTATGGCTTCCGCTTGGTCATTGTTCTTATTTATCTTGTTCACTTTGAAAACATCTTGCTTTTTCCTAGGCATCCTTTGCATACTCAGCGTCTTATCTTTCAACATGGATGCTCAAACAATATTATATTTAATACGATGCATATACAAGGGGAAGGAAGAATAATTTGGGTCAAAAGGCACTTTTTTCTAAAATAGTCGGAAAATCTTCATTTGCCTTTGCATGTAAAACATCACATAACACTCTAGCTAAAGGGGGTCAATATTTTACATAGGCCTTTCATGTCATAATAACACTCTTTCACTTTCTGATATTTTCAGACATCAATGCTTTACAAATGTTAATGGATCAATGCCATATTATCACTTGCTGTAGCTAATAAACTGATTTATAAAATCACAGTTCATAGCCCTTCTCTCTTCCAAGTATATCATGGACTCACAGATTCTTAGGTCCCTATTCTCCATAGAAATCATTTGCAACCCATAAAAAGGAGAGAATTCTTATTAAAAACATGGATTAAATATATGCATAAACATTCTGAGGATAAGGATGTGGAAGAATGAGACCGTATGAAGAAAGATAGATTCTCGACTCTAAGGTTGGAAGTTGTAAGAGATGAGGTCATTACGATAAAGTTCAACTTGATAGGATACAGTTAGTTACTCTCAGTAATCTTAATGTTGGGTTGTGTGGTGCTGGCTGGAGCAACCTGTCAGGAGAAATTTTAATCATTCATAAAAATTGAAACAAAACAACTTTCTAGACAGTGCTGTGGGTAGATTTGTTGGGTGCTCTGAAGCTAGTGTAGGAGAGGAAGAAATTTTCCTCCACTTTTCTAGGTTTTTCTGGCTGGTCTAAGAATTAAATTTACATGAGATGGATTACCAGGAGAAAATCAAACTTAATTGCATACATACAGGAACCCCAAATACATGAGAGAGTCAGAGAGCCCACATATGTGAGACGTTCAGAGACAAAAAGGTAGAATGAGGTATATATGCCATCTTGAGCTAAGGAATGGCATACGGGCCTGAGGCTTCAGAGGGGAGAAGGGTAATTCATAGGATGGTAGGAAGAGCAGATGTTCAGTAATTAGAGGTTTGCCCTGCCATACAGATAGGACATAAAAACTTAGTTCTGGTAATAATTCTTATCATGGGCAAGGACCCCAATTTAAATTCTTTAAGAGGGAGGTAAAAGTTTCTCTTGGGCTCACAGGATCTTGATTGCCTTTAGCTCAAAATATTTCACATGCCAAAGTGGCACATCTCGGGGAGGCCTGTTCTGAACCCCTTCGCTAGAGTGTAAAACCTACCATAAAGTGCCTGTTGAACTTGCCTGAGAGTATACTGACCTACCGTGCTGGCCCTATCTCCAGGCTGGGTTAAAATGTTCCCTTTTTCAAGTTTCCAACAGAATCTTGTGCTTACAGCATCCTAGACATCATCACACTTTACAGGGTGTTTTTTTCTGCTTACTTGTCTGTCTATCCTACTAGATTTTGAGGTCCTCGAGAACAAGGGAATTTCATACTGTGCTTAGCAAAAGCACCTAATAAACGTTTGATTTTGTTTGACTTAACGTAATTTGATTTAACACCCAATGAAGATTTGCTTGAAAATTCTGCTTTCTTAAAAATGCTGACAGGTTCCAGGCTACCCAGCACAGAAGAGGCTATTAAGAATGGATACCCTTCAAACATCAGAAACTACCTATCTTCTCTTTTTGCTGTCTGGAGGTTAGAGACATACACTGGCCCGGACACACACAATCCTGAGTACTCTCGTTTGGAGCTAGCTGCACACTTGGAGGGAATCCTTTTGGAGCGGGAGGTAACTGCTAAGCTACATGTAAAAGAAGCAGGTGATGGTGAAATACTCTATTTTCTGCTGTAGACAGACCAAATATGACTATTTAAATTTATGAAGTAAATGAACTACAGGTGGGACTATCTGTTTTATACAAAAATTTTTCACAAGATTCTTTTAAAAAGCAAGTATGTTTTGGTGCATCCTCCCACCCCCCTGGGAGAAATTAAGCATTTCACAGGATTCTCAAAGGGATCTGGTACCCATAAAGGCTTAATACTTATGCTTAGTGTGGGTAAACAGAATTTGGTTTTCAAATGCCCAGTTTCTTAGTACTTCCTGCACCTCATACGACAGTACCCAGCACACAGCAATAGGGTTTGGACAAAAATGCATCAGTAATGAAAGCCAAGCTTACTCGAAAACCATCACTCCCCAGGATGACGTCGTTGACATTGCTCCTGACATTACCCACCCTGGGCGTGTTCACTTGTAGCAGCTAGTAGAAAAAAGTTACCCTTTCTCAAAGAGCAGAAATTTTCTATTTTATTTGTACATTTCGAAATTTCCGTACCCTTTCCATGTCCAACTACTACCACCACAAACATTTATGTGTATGGTACTTATATTTGTAAAGATTTTACACTAGATTCTAAAAAAAATTCTGTGAGATACGTAGGTTTTCCAGGGAGTAGGACGTCTGTGGTAACGAAAATGAGGCCTGGTTTCCCCAGATAGGAGGTCTATTTTCTTATTCTTTTCCATAAACGAAAAAGAAAAGAACAGAGGTCCTGTGAGATCCCACTCAGATTCAAGCTTTAAGCAGAGCCAAACAGTTCAAGCAGGTCCGTAAGAGCAGGAGACCAGAAAGATTTGAAACAGCAGGTGGCTTTTCTAACACAGCTCACAGTTTGGGTAGGCTAGCACCTGGTCACTACAAAGCAAACGGAGAAAAAAAGTTTTTTGTTCTTTTCTTAAAGCAGCAGCTTAACTCGCTGGCTCAGCAAATGTTTTTCCAATTAGAGTTTGGAAAAGAACACCACTTGGAGGCCCTCTTTACCCTTAGCCTTTCCTCCCGCCCCCGACTGTACCATTAAATCCTAGATACTGGGGTGACTGAAAAGGATAGGAAATAAATCAGTAATTGCCAGAAACTTTTCCTCCATTTCTTGCAGGGCAGCACTTGCTACTTTCTTTTGTTTCGATTATAATAAGCAGTTCGGGGTTTTACTCGGCTTGCAAGGTCACAGCCCTGAACTTTGGACTATCGCTGAGAGGTGAGGTAAACAACGGGACTATAAATATCAGAGTTTCTCACTGTGGCTTTGTGGAGCTGCCCAGCTGAGCAAAGAGAAAGGAAGCAGCCTTGTCCGAGGGGTAAGTAGGAACTTTGTGTTTTGCAATACTTGATTCTTTTAGAGTTTGGTAAATAATTTGAGTCATAAAATATTTTTCCTTAGAATAGACTTTAAAAAAAGAGATGGATAAAGAAAATGAAAATAATACAAAAGAAAGAGAACAAAAGAGTCTAAAGTTGGGTGTGGTGGGTAACGTTCTGCAGTGGGCACATTGGTGGTTTTTGATTTCTGCCCTGCCTTCTGCACAGCTGAGGATGAAGATGGGAGCAGGGGAGGCTGGAGAAATCTAACACTTCCACTCTGCAAAAGGTTGTGATGGGTTTTTTTTTTTGAGGAAGATTAGCCCTGAGCTAACTACTGCCAATCCTCCTCTTTTTGCTGAGGAAGACTTGGCCCTGAGCTCACATCCATGCCCATCTTCCTCTACTTTATATGTGGGACGCCTGCCACAGCATGGCTTTTTGCCAAGCAGTGCCATGTCCGCACCCGGGGTCTGGGCTGGTGAACCCCAGGCCAACGAAGCAGAAGGTGTGCACTTAACAGCTGCACCACTGGGCTGGCCCAGGTTGTGATGTTATATAGGCAGTATGGTATGTTCAAGCTTAAATATTTCCCACTGAAATGCAGAGTAAGAACTCCAAGGGAAAAAAATAGCCCATGGATTTGAAGAGCAGAGACTGAAATATGGTCATTCTACAGTGCTGTAGAAATGTCCAGGGATATTGCTTGTGACTAAACGCAAAGTTTTGCAGTCTAGGTGGTGAGTGGGTGTTTCAAGTGAATGAGGGAGGAGCCTCAGATGCTGGTCTGAATTCCAGGGGAAGAGGGTGGAAAAGGTTTCAGCATATCCTGCCTTCTAACGGGGAATTTTAAAGAAGTGTAGGTCTGTACGTGGCCAACAGATCTAGGTTTTGTGACTGAAAAGTGGTGAGATTAGTGAAATTTACAACTACTTTCTAATTGTTATTGGATCAGCTTCCAGTAAATCCAGTTCTGCTATTTATCATCATTATTTTTATATGGCTGTCTGACAGCTATAATTAAAGTCAAAAGTTTATTATATAAAAAATGATCTTAAGAAACAAGGTTGAATAGCCTGTTGATTTTAAGGGCAGAGGAAAATCTGAAAGTGTGAACACTGTAATCTACTACCCCCTGCCAGTGGCTTTAGTTATTTTTTCATCAAAACACTGAATGAAAGAAATGAGTGAAATAGTCTTTTCATTTATAGTCACTACTTAGTCACATGTAGTCACTACATACTTGGAATGGTAAGGTATATGGCAAAGTGAGGGTGCCAAGTCCTGAATTTATGCAGAAGTTTCTATAACTATTGAATTTATATTCTAGAAAGTAGGGGACATCTACTCATTCTAGTAAGACACAAAACAGCTTGAATAATTTTGGTGTTCTCTTTGCCATCCTAAGGCACAAACAAACAAAACCCTGACAGCTATCGTTATTAAAGGTGACCCATCTTAAAACTGTCAACATTGTACAGTAGCTAAGAGGTCATGTTTTAGATTTAACAGAACTGGTTTGAATCCATTCTCTCTTGTTACTTACTACCTGTGTGGACTTGGGAAAGATGCCTAAACTCTCTCTTAGCCATGGTTTCCTCCCCTGCCAGAGGGGATAATGGTCTCATAGTTGTAAGGAATAACTGACGTGATATATAAAAGTGCTTAGCACCACCTGCATATAGGTCTATAAATGCTCAGAAAATGGTAGCTACAGCAAGGATAACTGTATCATCATCATAAATACTATTCTAAGGAAATTCCCTAGATTTAGTCCAGATATATCTTTTTTTGTGTGTGTTTTTGAGGAAGATTGGCCCTGAGCTAACCTCTGTTGCCAATCTCCCTCTTTTTGCTTGAGGAAGGTTGTTGCTGAGCTAACATCTGTGCCAATCTCCCTGTTTTATGTAGGATGCTGCCACAGTGTGGCTTGACAAGCGGTGCTAGGTTGGCGCCCTGGATCCAAACCCACAAACCGCAGGCTGCCGAAGCGGAGTGCGTGAACTTAACCATTACACCACCATGTCGGCCGCTAGCCTCTCCTTTTTTAAATGTTAGAATTTTAAAAATATTAGAATGGATGGGATGGCCTTAATAAGTCATTCAATTTATCCTCTCAAACTTTCTTTCTCACCCTCTAATTTTTTCTATTCCTTTATTAATTCTGGGCTCACTCTAGGTCACTTATCATTACTCTCCCTCTCCACACCCATATCCCCCTCCCCAAGAGTGCTTTTACTTCATCCCAGATCAGTGCCTGAAAATGTGCCAATTTTCTAGTTGTGGAATTTTGTTCTGAACTCTCTCTACAGACTCTTACATCAAAATAACCCTGATTACTCATGTGGATTTTTCTTTCTCGGCTTATCTCTGCTTGAATGTGTTCCCTTGTTTCAGCACCTCTCTACAATTCACCTGTTTTATTTGTACCTTTCTGCGGAGAGAGCTAGCCCTAATTTGGGGAATATTTATGGTCAAATGGTTAACCTTCCTACTCAGAGGGAGCAGGTATTTACCCAACAATATGCCACTGAGTCACAGAAACTTCCTGAAAGTGGTCATAGCCAATTAGACTGAGAGTAGATTTCAGTGAGTCTTAAATGGTACAGGGGGCAGCAATTTGTGACATTTCTCCGTGGTCAGGGTTTTTCCCTTAGTCCATGTTTATCTTGGATATAGTAGTAACATTTTGGCAGCCAGTTTTATACCTGAAGAGATTCAAACCCTTTAATATTAACAGAGAGCTAGACATTAAAGAACAAGAGGGACAAAAGGGAGCCACACTCAAGAGATTTATAAATATAGAAAGTTTGGACCTGAAGAGCTAAGGGCCCAGCAGGAGCCCCTTCATGTTGGTAAACCACCCTCACTGCCACCTCCTTTCTTCCTGGGTCTTCTTTCCATGCTGGGTCTTTTCATTTCTGAGCAGAATCTCTTACTTACCTCTCCCCTTCTTAGATTGGTAGAGGACGGAAAGAAGTAGGCAGAACTTGGTGTGTCTCAAGTAAAAATCAAATTGTGTGCAGAATGTTACTTCATTATTGAGGCCACAGTCTCCAAATTTTTCTAAACATGTATCTTCCCCTGGAGAAGTTCTTGGTTGCCTGTTCAGGCAAATCTCCATGGCACGCTTACTAAAGTATCTTGCTAAACCAGATAGATAGGAGGTGCATTGACAACTCCCCTGCATCTGGCTGATCTCCCCTTTATAGAAAGAGTTGGTGCAGGGAGGCCAACATAATGAGCCCAACAACATGGAGACAGATTCCAGGGGCTGGGTATTTACCGGAAGTAGGATGATACCTGCTGGATTGATAGAAATTCCTGGTTATGACTAGGAAGCCATCTGTGAAGATGACAGAAAGGTTTTCTCTTTTACAGGACAACCCCAGCAATGTGGAGAAGCCTGGGGCTTGCCCTGGCTCTCTGTCTCCTTCCATGGGGAGGAACAGAGAGCCAGGGGCAAAGCTCCTTTTGTAAGCAACCTCCAGCCTGGAGCATAAGGGATCAAGATCCAATGCTGAACTCCTATGGTTCAGTGACTGTGGTTGCTCTGCTTCAAGCCAGCTGATACCTGTGCCTTCTGCAGGCATCTAGGTAAGACAGTCTTTCTGTGGTCTGGGATTTCTTAAGGGGAAAGCTATTATATATATATATACATAAAATAAAAATGGAAAAGATGTATTTATTAAATCACATTTTTGGAAAAACTATATGTGTTTGCTTAGAATGTGAGAAGAAAGAAGACTGGGAGGATATATGCCAAAATGTTTACAGTTGTTTTCCTGGAGTTATGGAAATTTTTTCTTCTTTTTGTGGACCTTTATTTTATAATGTCCTACTAAATATGTGTTACTTGTGTAATGAAAATGTTCTAAAATGTACTCCTGCAAATGAATTAGTTATTTCAATACAGGAAGCAAAGAGGAGTGCTTTGCCAGAGTAGAATGAATATTAGACTTGCCATCAAACATCTTGGGTCATTTAACAGATTTATTTATATAAATAAAAATACTTGTTGAGTTATTTGCCAAATATTTATTGGGTAGAATTCTCTGTAACTGTAAGGTAGATTAAAAAATATAGATTTCATAAGATTAATTTAAGGACTAAATGAGCTAATGTTTGTGCAAGCATTTAGCATAAGGTTTTAACTGAGCACAAGTGCTCAATAAATAATTAAAAATTGAAAATTTAATCTTTAACAACAATATAAAGAAGAGGTATGAGTAAGAAAAAATAGTAAGAGAGTTTCATGTAGAAAAAAGTAGGCAGTGAGAAGAAAGAGGAGTCACTAATAAACTTAAATGAGATTATTCTTTTTTTGGGTATTTTTCCAAAATATTTTAGATTGGAAGACCTGCGAGTAAAACTGGAGAAAGAAGGATACTCAAACATTTCCTATGTTGTTGTTAATCACCAAGAAATCTCTGCTCGATTAAAATACATACATCTTAAAAATAAGGTTTCAGAATATATTGCTGTTTATCAACAAGAAGAAAACCAAACAGACATCTGGACTCTCTTAAATGGAAGCAAAGATGACTTCCTCATATATGACAGGTGTGTACACACACGCACACACACACTCACACACACTTCAAATTAAAAAATACCTGCTTTGTATTTAATTAAATAATAAGTGATTTAAAATAAGACATCTGCTTTTATTTTATTACCAAATACTCAGTTCCACAGTGGGCCCATTAAAATGTTTGGTTGTAATATTTTGAAATGACTTTCTTTCACACAAAAGAATGTGCCATTCCAGTAGGGCAATAAAGAAAATTGACTATACTTTTCTTTTCCCTCTAAATTGGCATTCTGATTAAACAAAAAAAGGGTCAATTTGTATATCACACACAATTCTAAGGATTTTGCAGATGAATAACCACACTAATCTGATTAATAATTTTAAGGCTACATACTTGAATTCCTGAACTATAAAGTGAGCTAATCATTGAGGTATAATTGGCATGAATCTGCTTTTGATTCTATGAACAAATAAAACATTTGTAATTTGAGGGGACCTCAATGCACACATTATTTGATATTACCAACATTCCTGGTTGGTGCTCTGTTTTGTTTTGGCTCTTCATTGATGGCGAGCCAGATTCTGCGTAGCCCTAAGCCCTACTTGGTCTTTACTAAATAGTTTTAACATTACATGTCATTCTTTTAGGACTGCAAACTCCTAATTTAGTTAATTGCAAAGAGCAACCCTTTGATAGTCAAATAAAATTGTACATACTGGGTAAATGTGGGCAAGGAGGACATTTCAATTCCACCATTTCTGAGAATGCCAAGTGTTGTAACTCCATTTCTTTCATTGTGCTGAAATTTTTGTTGCATCAGATATATTTTTAAATAAATGGGCTACTGGCCAAGATTCAAGGATCTTTTTTTTATGCTGTGATTCCTTGTGTGGAATTTGTGCTGCCTTAGAAGTTATGAAAAGCTCATGTGATTTGCAGAGCCTGATTTATGATAAGTCAGTGGTCTGGGCACTGGTAGAATTTGTAAGTCAATTACAAAATTATATTTGATCAAGTCACAATGACTATACTACACAGTTTTCATATTATTTATAGTGACATATCTATAACAGTTCAAAATGCTAGTATTAGACTCACTGTTATCTTGTCATGACCTGCCCTGGTATGCAGTGCCGGGGAGCTTGTTTGAGACCCCACGCAAGGAAATTTACTGAAGGTATGAAAGGGTCTTAGTTATAAGACCATTAAACCTGTAACACCTATCCCAGACTGTGCTTAAGTAGGATCACAATAGAGAAAATATTGTAATAACACAGTATGTGTCCTTTTTTTTAGATGTGGTCGTCTTGTATATCATCTTGGTTTGCCTTACTCCTTCCTAACTTTTCCATATGTAGAAGAAGCCATTAAGATTGCCTACTGTGAAAAGAAGTGTGGAAACTGCTCTCTCATGGTATTTTTCTCAATTATTTTTACCACAAGAAAAAAGGAAATCTTTTAAGAGCTGTGTAAATAAGTTAGTGTTTCATGACCAATTAGCTAATTCATGTTTCTTTGATGTACTAAAAATTGATCTATAACAGTAATTTTTATAATTACACATACTTCCTATTACTGAATATATTCTTTAAAATGTCTTTTCAAGATTTATATTGCCGCTTTTATCTAAAAGATTTAGAAAATAAAAATCAAGGTAGATCACATATTTTAATTACCACCAAATGATGTTGCATGAGTGTAAGTGCTCAAAGAATTCAGCCAACATAAAATAACATTATTCTAATATCTTGAATGTGTTCACATAAGAGCATAGTGATAGCAAAGCTTATATAGAATTACCTGAAACAGAACTGGGGCCCAGATGACTACTTAATTTATCAAGGGTGCAAGACTGTCAGCTTTTCCATGGAGCCCTTGCACTGTCTGCCCATTCTGCAGATGGAATTACTGCATTTTCTTTACAATGGAATAAGTTTTCTACTTGTTACTGATATTTCTTTCCTAATAACCATGAGAATATTTATTCTTTGTTATGAGAAGCGCTATATTTAAATATTGTTTATTAAAATACACTCAGGGAATTGTTTTAATTTGTATTAACTAGACTTTTTTTCCTCTCATATTGAGAAGTGAAATAATTCCAGACAATGTTTCCTTGACATGGAAAATTGGGAAAATTTGAACTCAGCTTTAAAAACAATTTGGAATTTTATTAGTGAGCTGTACTTCCTTCAGATTTTTCCCAGATCTAAAGAAAGCCATCTTAAATTTTAATGAATCATTTAATTAATTTAGTTGTTAAAGAGCATAACAGGGTAATACTCTAGTTATGTCATTTTTCACATTTTAATCTTCATAATAATCCTATGAGGGTTATTTTACTGCTTTTAAAATGAGGAAACTGAGATAATACAGAGTACTAACTCAATGTCTAACTTATACTAAGTGCTTAATAGATGCTATCTATATTGATTCCTCATACTTTGGGATTATTTCAGTATTTTGCATTTGTGCAAATGCCTAATAGTTATAAATATACCTAGCTATATTGAAACAAAGGCAGAAACAATTCCCATGACATGCTTAAAATTTACTAACCATTTGAAAATAAGAATAATATACCATATATATCTGACATGCCAAATCAAATTGGAGTTTTTCTATTTCATTGTATCCTAGATGCCATCAATTATATGATACATTATTTTATGTACTATTAAAAAAATGCTGTCAGTTAAAGTAGGACACAGTGCTGCAACACCATCAATAGTAGGATGCATTCTGATTTTAAAGATCTTAAAACGTGAAAAAAAATAAATTGTAGACAATGAAATACAGTCATTGGTTTTTTGAAACTAGTCTACTACAATAATTATTTGTGTTTGTTTAATCACTGAACATTTAGAACATTATACAGTATATTTTAAACATTTATAAAATTGTTTATAAGTTTTAAATCAAATGCTATTAAGTTTTTAAAAGTAGTTCAGAAATAACCAAAAAAAGTACCACTTAGTAGTTGTATGTTAAAGTCTAATGGAAGTTATAACCTTTCAAAACTTTCAAAACACCTAACCATACCACTGAGTGAGTCTTTGGTCTCTCAAGTTGATTTTGTAACTTTGTTTATAAATAACTTTATGGGTTGAGGTTTAGCATTACATTGCTATATCTGTAAGCTTTGAGCCTATGATTTGTGGGCACACAAAACTAAAAAAAGACTTACAACAAATTAAAGAACTAGATTCATGTAGAAAGGAATATTATGCCCAGTGGGATATGGGCAGTCGTTTGCTACTTTCAGCACTATAGTAGGGATACATTAACAAAGCTCTGGTGAAGTTCAAAACATTTCCTGGCATAAGCTGAGGTATGAAAAATTACTGATTTTGAGCAGAGTTGATTGGCATTTTTGAATTATCAGAGAGAAATCAGTTTGTTTAAGAATATAATATTAGATTCGAAGCATTGTTGACACAGGAGTGAAAGGTTCCGTGTACGTCATCTGAGTTTAGGATTTGATATTTGCTTGACTTTACTGCAGTCTAGGTTCTTTGGGCCAGTTTATTTAGTTTTGCTTCTGCAGATATAATACAGTGGTTTGGCTTCCTTTTGAAGCCTTATGTATCTCTCAAATTCTTCTTCAGAATTCTTAAAAATTTGGGAAATGCTCTTGATAAGAAAAGGAAAATCTGCATTCTGCTGTTGAGTTAACCAGTATAGAAGCATAGGTCAACTGTTGAACTCTATTTGTGTTACACCCTATTTTACCTATTTTCAAAACATTAATGTTAATTCCTTTGTAAGATGCTTGAGGATTCTTTGATTAAATGCAAACTTTGTACAAGAAGCACTTTATAATTAGATATGGATGGGAACCAAATTTTAATAAAAAGTCTAGAGGTAGAGACTGACATCAATTTTTTTCTCATTAATATGATACTAGAAAAACAAAGCCAGTTCAATCCTAATTAACTAGTTTGAATTTCATATATGTTAGCTCTACAAATCATTTTTCATGCATTCTTGCTGCCTCTATGGCTTTGTTGATAAGTGACTTATAAATTTCTTCCAGACACTGGAAGATGAAGACTTCTGTAAAACTCTATCTTTGGCTACTGTGGAAAAAACAACTGAGGATTCACAGCCACATCACCATCACCATCACCAGCATCATCACAAGCATGGGCATCAGCATGCTGGGAACAGTCAGCTTTCAGAGAATCAGCAACCGGAAGCAACAGGTGCTCCTGAGCATCCTCCTCCTCCAGGCCTTCATCACCACCATAAGCACAAGGGCCAACAAAGAAGGGGTCACCCAGAGAACTGAGACATGCCAGGAGGGGAAAGTTTACAACTTTCTCTTCCACAAAAGAAGCTCTGACAAAAAGGATGTATAAATCAGTTACTCTGTAAGATGCCCAAAGATTCAAAGTTGGCTCCTAGTAGTTGATGCTGACATTGTCGACATCTGATATTTGAAAATACAAGGTCTGCAATCACCTGACAGTGTACAGAAAACCTCCCCTCTTTATGTAGCTGACAGGGACTTTGGGCAGAGGAGAACGTCATTGAATCTTGTCAGTGACGTTTGCCTCCAGCTGCCTGACAGCCAAGTCAGCAGCTCAAGCCCACAGAAGCCAGCACCAATTGAAGCTGAAAATATAAGGCAGCAATGTGAAAATGACCTTCAAACTAAACATTTAAAGTAGGATATACTCCCCAAGTCAGTCTAGACGCAATTTCACTTCTAGCATTTTTGTAAGCTACCTAATTAATAGCGATACAAAAATAAAAATTGGAATTGTGCAAACATGGAGAAATCTACTATATTGGCTTCCAAATTTTAAAATTTATGTCAAATTTTAACCCAAACCATATTTTTATTACCGGGCAACTGACAGGTGATTGCAGCTTTTGGTTAATATGTCTTTCTTTTTCTTTTTCCAGCATTCTACTTGCATTAATGAGAACAGAAACGTAAACTATGACCTAGGGGTTTCTGTGGGATAGTTAGCAATTTAGAATGGAGGAAGAACAACAAAGACATGTTTTCCATTTTTTCTTTACTTATTTCTCAATGCTATCTTTGTCTTTTTCATCTTATGTTTTTAACTGATTAAACCTTTAAAGAAGTGAATTCTGTCTTTTAAGATCTAGAAATACTTACACATGAATATTTTGCTATGACTACAGTTTAAATATCCACTTATACGTACATCTAAGACTCATATCTTGATTTTTACTACCACATATGAATGAAGTCTTTATATCTTGTTTTCTTTATCTAGCATCGTATCGCACTTTGAAATGTGAGAGTGCCCCTTGAAAGATATAAGGGGAAAGGTAAAAGAATGTTGTCTATCTCTTGATTGCTTAGAAAGTATTTCCATAGTCAATGATGGTTCAATAGGTAAACTAAGTCCTATAAACCTGAACTCCTTTATGGTTAATACTATTAAGCAAGAATGCAATACACAGTTGGCCAAAGTGTGGACTTGTTTAAAAAAACTTAATAAAAAAAGTTTAAAGCTGTCTTCATTTCATTTCCTCTTTTTCATTGTTATTTAGGCAGTATGTTATATTGACAATAGAAATTAATTTTTCAACTGCTGTTAAAGAAATTAAATAGCAACTAATGAAATTACTGCTATACTCAAAACCGTCTACGCTTAAGGTGAGAATCTTTGCCAGCAGAGAGGCGTTGCTCTAAATCCCGAACAGTATTACGAAGAATTGCAATCTCCTTGTTTTTTTCTTCTTGAAGATGTTGAAGCTTCTAAATGAAGCAGAAAAAATTTGTTATTGCAATTCAGAAATAATAAGATTAAGTGCAAGGAACAACAAAACAATAACAAAAACTATATTTCTGGTTCAAGTAGAAGTAGGTATTAAAAAAGATACTTTATTTTGAAAGGTCTGTAGTTTTATTTTTATGGGACTTGATGGGATAAACTTGGTGTAAGGATATAAACACACGTTAACATCATTTGTTTTAGTTTGTTCCCTTCTCCCTATAGAGCTTGAGGTTGTAAACCATAAATAAAGGAGGAGCTGAGCAAAAAGAAATCTGTTATCTTTGTGCCTAAATAACTTCAGAATAGTAAGTCAGCGTAAGTTCAAAATATATTACGGAATTCCTAAGATGGCCCAAAGAGTCAGAGAACTTCTCTAATGTTTTAATTTACTACTAAGGTTTACTAGTTTAAACTGAAAGTGACTGTTAAAGATTATTCAAAATTTCTGATTGTGTGATGTATTTTAAGAAAAACTGTTAAGTATATTGTTAGTAAATATTAGATAACTTTATAGAAACACATTAGGGAAATTTATTTTCTTAAGCAACAGCCATGGAAGAAAAACTCACATACCCTTCTGTAGATACTGTGTGGCAAAACAGTAGAATCTGGATATGATTTTGATTTAGTTTGAACTCTTGCTAGTTTGGCATCAAACTGAATCAAGTTTAAAAAGAAAGTTATTGAGAACATTCTAATTAAACAATTAGAAACAACTGTTTCTATAAATATAAGTATAATCCATTATATCTTTTAACACATAATCTGTAATTTAAGTGCCTTCTCTGTATAACAGAAGATAGAAAAGTCTTTCTGTACGAAACAAGTTTTTTCTTTTTTGAGGAAGATTAGTCCTGAGCTAACATCCGTGCCCATCTTCCTCCACTTTATATGTGGGACGCCTACTACTGCATGGCTTGCCGAGCGGTGCCATGTCTGCACCCGGGATCTGAACTGGCAAACCCCGGGCCACCGAAGCAGAACGTGTGAACTTAACTGCTGCACCACCGGGCCAGTCCCTAAGGAACAATTTTTAAGGAAGAACAAAGAACACCCAAACAGGATTATCCCTGGCTCCATGTTAAAATCACCTGGGGAACTTTTTAAAAGTACCAAATACCTGGGCACGACATTAGAGATTCTAGAATGTGGTCAGTGTCATCTTTTTCTCAAGACATCAGGTGATTCTATCATGCAAGGTTAAGAATTTAGTTAACCAGGGTTGAGAATCTAGTTAACTTAAAGATAGATAAAAATATTTTCACGTTACTATGAGTGTGCTTTTGTAACGAGACTGTAGTGTAATCAACAGTTGTGGGAGAAAAACTCATATACCCTTCTGCAGAAACTCTGAGGCTGAACAGTAAAATCTGAAAACGATATTGTTGAATGCTTGTTGGTTTAACATTAAACTGAATCAGGTTAAAAAAATTCTCATAGGCTATTCTTACTGGCTATGTATTTTTTCAAAATCTCTCATTATAATTCTTCCCTTCAGTTTAAGTGTAACGTAGCTTCTCTGTGGACTACAAATAAACTCTCTGTGAGATCGTGTTCTGGGTTGGGGAGAAAAATGGATAGTTACAATGAAGGTAATAACAAAAAGGGTTCTGTATATCAGTCAAACAAAAGACTTGGGCTAGACCAGTGACAGGGCCTGGATGGCAAACAAAATGCTGATTCCCAGTCAATGGATTAGAAGTTGATGGTAGACCTTGAAACATGACCTACTGCATCTCAGTTAGCCATCTAGCCCCATCCGTGGTTTGTGGGTCCACTTGACCAGAAGGCAGTAGCAGCAGCAAAGAGCCTCTACAGTCAACATCAGTCCTCTTTTGCTCAATGATTATACAGTCTTCAACACGGTACCTCATCAAGCACCCCGGGGATACCAAACTTTCAGGAACATGAATAAATTCTTAACTAAGCCAGTGAATTCTGAAAATAAGAAGGTTAAGTGGGAGTCAGGCTGGGGAAAAGCAATGAAAGAATGATGGAAAGGGAGATTGGTAGAATGTAGAAAAAAAAATTTTAAGGGACAAATATATTGTCAAAATATCAATATCTTTGCAATTCTGACATCTGGCTAAACAACCTGCTGAAAAGACGTTCAAGCTAAGAACTGGAACCTTAGCCCTATTTGAAGTCCCTTCAATTTTTTTTTAAAAATCTAGTTTGTCTGCTTCTATGATATGTATTTTTGCACACATTTATTAGGGAGAAATTTGTCTCTTTTTATCCTAAATAAAGCAAAATGAATTTCTGGTTTGTTCTTCAGGGTTCCACAATTTCTGCTGAGAACACAGTAATGTTAAGGATTAGGAACGCTCTCCCCACTGCTGGAATGGTAGTCCTATGCTTGCACAGACTCAGCTGTAAAATGCAGGTAATCCTTGAGTTATCTGTCCCTGCTCTGAGGAAACAATACCCTCTCTGGAAACCAGGGTCTTGTGAATGACTGAAGAGTCCCACCTTCAGGCCAAGTGCTGAAAGGCAGTGTAGCTAAGAGTCATCGGAGTTTGAGCACTGCTTGTGATGGAGAATGTGCACGTGTGAAGCCCTCTTACAGGATTGTTTCTACTCCTAAAATTTATCTTACTGTGATGAAAAATAAGCAAAGTATGGTCTAGATTAAGGGATGCATCCTCAAATTCAGCAGAGCCTTAAACATTTACCTCTAGCTGTAGTCTGATTATTTCATTTTGTTTTTCCTTTTCTTGAGTTCTTAACTTTGCATTTAACTCTGAAATTTCCACCTCCTTTTTCTCTATCAGTTCTTTAGTTTTTTCTTCACTTAGTTTAACTGAATAAAACAAAAATAAATAAAGTTAATTTACCTTAACATTTCAAAAATCTAAGCTTTTCTTTCTTTATTTTTTTTTTAAAGATTTTATTTTATTTTATTTCCTTTTTCTCCCAAAGCCCCCCGGTACATAGTTGTATATTCTAGTTGTAGGTCCTTCCAGTTGTGGCATGTGGGACGCTGCCCCAGCATGGTCTAACAAGCGATGCCATGTCTGTGCCCAGGACCCGAACCGGCGAAACCCTGGGCCGATGAAGCAGAGCACACGAACCTAACCACTTGGCCATGGGGCCGGCCCCCTATTTAGTATTTTAAACGATCCACAAGAAAGTAAATTTTATTAGTAAAAACATATATTTTAGAAACTGCTTATGCGCAGCATGGCTTTTATATATTTTTGAGAAGCCCCTGCAAAATGCTTGAAATACAAAGGTTATTCATTGAATGTTTTGGAATGAGTAAACTAACTTGTACTCTTAAACATCAACGCCTAGAGAATAAATAGGAGATTTAGTGGTTAAAGAGGGACACAAAGCCTGGGTTCCTAGATATAGAGGGTCCAAATTACTGGATGATTCCAGAACTACATCAAGCTACATTAGGGAGAAGGGAAAGAGTCAGTTCACATGCTCCACAAATAAGGAAATTCCATCCACGACTAATCCACTACTTTCGTAGTTTCAGGCCTCATTCTTCCTCAGTTGGACTTTGTGTCTAGGCTCTCCAGCACCAGTCTCTATCCCCTACACACTCTTGCCAGGTTATTCTTCCTAAGTCATACTTCTACGTATGGGCATCACTTTCTCAAAAACCTTCAATTCCCATTTCCTTAGCCTGATAATTCAAGAAGTCAAAGAATCCATCCCTCGCCTCGGTTTTTGGCCTTTCTCTTGCTGAACCTTTCTGTGTAGTGCAAAGAAAAGGTAGGAAATGGACTATTATTCCCTAGCATGTCCCATGTCTCCCCCTCTTTATGTCTTGGCTTTTATTTTCTTTCTGCCTAGAGGCTCTTCTTTCCATCTTCATCAATCAACCTTACTCATATTCAGGATTCAAGATCAGGCCTAATACTAAGGTCCCATCTTAGTCTGCGATGAGGCAAAGTCCAGAAGAATACATTTAGCTATCCAAAGCCTTAGAGAAACTGACTTCCATCTGGTCTTAGTCCATACTATTATGTGCCTGGAGGCAGCACTGTTGAAGATATGAAGAAGAAATAAAGCACTGAAATGGGTCGAATTTCAGATACTATATTAGAGGATAGCTGTGTGATTTTCTTCATCATAATTATTCTGAAAGGTTTTGTTACCAAGATTATGTTGGCCTTATGAAATAAACTGGAAAATGTTTCCTCTCTTTTATTGCTAAGCCTCTGAAAGAGTTTGTGTAAGACTGGCATTATTTTTCCTGAAATGTTTGGTATAATTTCACCAGGAAAGTCTTTTCAGCCTGGAGTGTTCTTTGTGGGAAAATTGTTTATTATACATATACTTTCTTTAATAGACATAGAACAATTCAGATTTTCTATTTCTTCTTGTGCCTGTGTGGGTTTTTTTCCCTCAAAGAGGTCTAATTCATCAAAAATCAAACTTAATGGCATAAAAACGTTTACTTATGCTATTCATTATGGGGTTCATTCTCTGTTTAAAGTTTGAAGTGATTTCCTCTTTCTTACTTCTAATATTGGTTATTTGTACTTTCTCCATTTTTCTCGATCAGTCTTGATGAGAGTTAATTTTACTAGCCTTTTCAAAATTTTTTGGATCTGATTCTTTTTATTATGTGCATGTTCATAATTTCATTAATATCTGACTTTCTTCTTTCTAATTTCTTTGGGCTTAGTTTGATGTTTTTCCCTTAACTTCTTGATATAGATTATTTAAATAATTGATTTTTAACATTTTCCAATACTTGTATTTAAGGCTATAGATTTACCCATAAACACAGCTTTATCTGTGTCCCGCAAGTTTTGATATGTAATGTTTTCTATGTAATTCAGTTCAAAATATTTTCTAACTTCCTTTGGAATTTCTACTTTGATCAACAGGTTATTTTGAAATAATTTCCAAATACATAGGGATTTTCTAATTACCTGTATTTTACCAAGTTTGTCTTAATTGCAGTGTGGCCAAAAATCTGTTCTGTATGACTTCAGACCTTTGAAATACGTTGAGATTTCCTTTTTGTTGCAAGATATAGTCAATTTTCTTAAATGATCCATGCACCCTTGAAAATAATGTGCATTCTGCATTCATTTCCTAGGTATAGCGGTTTATTTACATGAATTAGTACCCATTTTTAATTTTGTTGTATCAATATTATTACTAATTTTGTGTGTTTGTGTGTACTTTTTCTAGCACTATGTGTGTTAAATTTTCTATGATTGTAGATTTGTCTATTTCTCCTACTAGTTCTGCCAATTTTTGTTTCATATATTTAAAGCCCTGTTATCTGGTTCATATAAACTTAGAATTGTTGTTATATCTACTCGGTGGGTTGAACATATTATCAATATTGAAATATCCATCTTTAACATTGCTTCTTACATTAAAGTATATTGTGTTCAATATTAGCATAGTTATGTCAACTTTGTGTTGGTTACCACTTGCATGATATATCCTTTTCCATCTTTTACTTTAAATCTTTCTATATCTTTATATTTCAACTATGTCTTTTGAAAGCAATATATTATCATATTTTAATTTTTATCCATTTTGACAATCTTTGTCTTTTAATTGGAACATTTAGTCAAGTTACATTTAATGTATTTACTAATATATTTGGGTTTAAATCTATCAGCTTATTATTTGTTTATTTTTACATTCTATGTACCTTTCCCTGTTTTCTTGCCTTTATTTGGACCACATAACTGTTTTTATTCCCTTTTTCCCTCCTCTACTAGCTTGATAATCATTAGCTTAACATATATTCCTCTATTCTTCCTTTAGAAATTACTCTAGTGATTACAACATGCATACTTGACTTATTAGAATCTAATAAAACTAGTACTTTTATCACTTTACAGACATTATAAAAATCTTACAACATGAACTCCATTTATTCTTCCTCCTATCTTTGGTGGGTTTGTCTTATGTCAACTTAGTTATATTAAAACTATATTTCTCAGAATTCATTTCCTTGTATGGTTCTGGGTTAGAGATGGCCACGTGAGAAATTTGCAGAAGATTTGAGAAGTGGAAGTAAAGCAGCAACTAATTTGCTCTAAAGGTCAGCGTAAGATGCTAGGCAATTTTGCAGCTCACACATATTGTTGCTAGTCTTCTGGCTCACCAAACCAGCAGCTATTATTTTCTGAAGGTTAGTCTAGAGCACCAAGCAGTGTTGCAGTTAAGTTGTCACTGATCACTGAATCACCTTATTGATAAGGAGAAGCATTTAGTACAACAGCTTTGTTAGTTCCCACCAGATTCCCTCTTTTAGATTCTATGAATCCTAGACCAGGTCTCCTTGTAGCTTGGATATTTTCTTCTGCTTTATCTTCCAGATTATTAATTATATCTTTAGTTGAATCTAATTGGCTATTAAAGGAATATACTGAAATTTTATTTTCAGTCATTGTGTTTTTAGCATTCACATTTCCATATATTTCCTTTTTTTAAATTGAGGTAAAATTGGTATATAACATTATGTGAGTTTCAGGTGTATAACATTATAGTTTGACATCTGTATACACTACAAAGTGATCACCACCAAAAGTCTAGTTACTATCCATCACCATACAACTGATCCCCCTATCCTGCCTCTCCTCTGGTAACCATTAATCCATTCTCTGTAGCTATGAGTGTTTTTGTTGTGCTTTGTTCATTTGTTTTGTTTTCTTAGATTCCACATACAAGTGAAATCATGATATTTGTATTTCTCCAACTGACTTATTTCACTTAGCATAATGCCCCCAAAGTTCCTCCACTTTGTCACAAATGGCAAGATTTCATCCTTTTTGATGGTTGAGTAGTATAACTCTACAAAAGTAATATTTTGTATTGAGGTAATTAGGAGTTCTTCTGTCTTCATGTACTTGCATGTCCAGTTCCTTCTCCGGGTTTGAGAAATTCTCAGCTATTATTTCTTTAAGTAAGCTCTCTGTTCTTTCTCCCTCCCTTCTCCCTCTGGGATACCTATAATCCATATGTAACTTTTCATAATTGTCAGATATTTCTCCAAGAACTTCATTTTTTCAAAAATCTTAGTTCTCGCTCCCCCTTCACCTGGATCATTTCTAGGTTTCTATCTTCAAGCTCACTGATTTTCTCCTCCATACAGTCTGCTCTATTTTTATGCTTTCTATATTATTTTTTATCTCATTAATTGTATTCTTCATATTCAGAATTTCTTTTGTTTATTTTTAGACCTTCAATCTCTTTGGTGAAGTATTCCTGCTGTTCATTAATTTTACTCCTGAGCTCACTGAACTGTCTTTCTGAGTTTTCTTGTAACTCGTTGAGTTTCTTTATGACAGCTATTTTGAATGTCAGTCAGGTGGTAATCTTCTGTGACTTCAAGTTTGGTTTCTGGAGAGCTGTCATTCTCCTTCTGTTCTGCTGTGTTCCTGTAGCTCTTGTTACTGTAGTCCTCTTCACGGTGTTTGAAGAATTGATCCTCTGCCAATGCATTTGTGATAGTAATCACCTTTCTTATTTGAGCACTGCTTTGTTTACTTTGGTTCTGAGCTGCTTATGAGAGCCTGCACTTTCCACCCTCCATTGTCTCTGCTAGGGGCATAATCAGTGCCTTCCTTGTTGTGCTTGTGTCTCTGAGGTTGCTGATGCCTTGCTGCTTTCGATGTCACTGCAGTCTGAGGTATTGCCACCAGAGTTACCAACCTGTGAGAACTGCTCCTTCTGGGGTCTCCTGGGTCTTGTGCTCTCCCGCTTGCTCTCTGTGGGCTCTTGATGGGTTCAGGTGCTGCTGCCTTGTGCACCACTTGTGCTGCTGCTCTTGGGTTATCTGGTGGCACTGGCAGCACCACTGTCAGAGGTGCT